CAACTCTGTTCAGGTGCCTGCCTTTCCCAGGCACTTGAGCTTCCTGCCGGTTCTTTCTCAGGCATGGTCCATGTTTCTGCCTTGTAACTAATGCAGGTTCCAGTGTTTTTCTCTGTTGTTTAGGCAGCAGAACCTGATCTTATGCCAGGCCTGCAAGTGAAGAAAGGTGGAAGTGTTCCAGCCTCCTACTGTCCAGGCTTCATTTAAAGCCTCCTGGTTGTTTCCTGGCCCTAGAACCTGGACTGGGGCCCCAGAGGTCTCCATGTCTCCGCCCCGATCGTGTGCCTGCTGACTCACCTGTCTGCTTCTTGGCTTTCCCATGCCTCCAGGCAGACCTCAACACCAACATGGAGGACGAAGGCAGCTCCTTCTACGGGGTCTCCAGCCAGTACGAGAGTCCCGAGAACATGATAATCACCTGCTCCACCAAGGTCTGCTCGTTCGGCAAGCAGGTGGTAGAGAAAGTGGAGGTAGGAGTACCCTGTGCACTGTTAAACCAGACCTTTAAGCTGTTTCAGGTTGGTCTTCATTCATGCCCTCTGCTTTCCCCAAATTTGTCTGAACTAATGAAGCCTTACCCTCACCGTCTCTTAGTTATTGATAACCCTCCTCATGGTAATCACCACCAGATGCCGGGCTGGTACTAGGGAGGAGGCACTCCCTTCCCAGTGTTCTCACCCCTGGCTGCACTTAGATCACTGGAGCTTTTGAAACTTACCAATGCATAAACCCCACTTCACAACACTTACCCCAGAACCTCCAGGGTGGAATCTGGGTAGTAGCTGTTTGTAAGAAGCACTTCAAGTTGTTTATTTTAAATTAAATTTTTGTTTTGAAATAATTGTGGACACTCAAGCAATTGTAATTCCATGTACCCTTCACCCAGTTCCCCTGAGGGCAGTATTTTGCATAACTATTGGCAACCAGGAATTGACATTGATGCCACTTATAATCTGATTCAGATTTCATCGGTATTTGTGTGTGTGTGTGTGTGTGTGTGTGTGTGTGTACAAATACATGACAGTTCCATGGCCACAAGGATTCCTGTGCACCCTTCCCCATGTTATTTTAGTGTGTGGTCAGGACTGAGTCGTCACATATCCTGTCTTGCCTATTGCCACTACTCGGTCTTGAAGCGCTTCTCCTCCAATGCTCACCTTCTGAGCATCGGAGCTCAAGGTGGATGGTCCCTTTGCTGTCACTCGAGCCCCTGTTACTGAGGGAGGAGGAAGGCTCTGATCTCAAGAGCCTCTAGGCCTTCTGCCTTTTCTTCCACTTAAGAGTCAGTGGGTCCTGGAGCTTCCCCAAGCAGTTGGGTCTGGGCTGGATGTGGTCAAAAGAGAACCTAAGCCCTGCTGTCCCCTGGTCCTGCAGACAGAGTATGCCCGCTACGAAAACGGCCACTACTCCTACCGCATTCACCGGTCCCCGCTCTGTGAGTACATGATCAACTTCATCCACAAGCTGAAGCACTTGCCCGAGAAGTACATGATGAACAGCGTGCTGGAGAACTTCACCATCCTGCAGGTGTGGGGGCAGGGCTGGGGGCGCTGCAGGGTGGGGCAGAGGACCCAGCAAAAGGCATGCCCTCTTCTGGGGCCTTAACCCTCACCTTTTCTCTCACCCACAGGTGGTCACCAACAGAGACACACAGGAGACTTTGCTGTGCATTGCATATGTCTTCGAGGTGTCAGCCAGCGAGCATGGGGCTCAACACCACATCTACCGGCTGGTGAAAGAATAAGAAACTTGGGGAGCAGGGACGGGGGAAGAGATGTGTGTGTGTGTGTAGGGACATGGGGTGGGGACCTGCAGGGACAGCCCCTTGAAGTGCCAAGAAAGCTGACCCTTCCTACCCAGGAACAAACTGTGCCTCAACCTGCAGTGCCCAACCCCAAATAAACCCAAGATGTGTATTTTCAGAGGACCCCACCTGGCCTTAGGAGCCCTGGGAGGGACTGTGGGAGAAGGGGGGCAGTCTGGGAAGCGGGCTGGAAGCAGCCCAGAGATGCATCGTGGGCAGTTCTGAAGCCATTGCTCCAGTGGACTCGGCCAGGAATGTCGCCAGACGCTGAAGGTCAAGCTGGATGGTCCCTCTGCTGCCTGGAGCCCCTGCACTCTGCTGCTGGCTACACTGGGAGGCCTGAGGATAGGCGTGTGGGCTTCCGTTCTGTGCATGCGCAAGTGTGCACCGTGGCTCCCTGAGCATGCTGCAGCTGCTCTGCCTGGCACCTCTGCTGCCACTGCCGCGGGGCAGCTCACGGAGGCCCATCCAACCCAGGCGTGGGTTGTAGGTGTGGAGGTGACTGAGTTGCTAGAAGGGGACACTGAGCCGTTTAGTTTTATTCATCTCTGGTGGTTGTGGATCCCATGGTCCTGCTGGCTTGTTGAGGGGACTGGCTCCAGATCAGAGGAGCCCGAGATGGAGGACAGGAGGGGCAGTGCTGAAGCAGGCTGCCGAGTTGTGCAGAGGCTGGCGTCCTGCAGCACCCTTTTTGGTGGTGAAGGCCAAGAAAGTTGTTCAGAGGTCTGTGGTGACCCAGTGGTCTCAGACCATCCAGTTCTGACTGGTGAGTCTTACCTCCCTCCCAGCCAAGACGCCTGTCGCGTGGTGACCACCTCAGGGCCAGCCCAGGCATCCACTCCCTCCCCAAACAGTAGTTTCTGTGCTCCTCGGGGCTGGAGAAGGGTGTGGAACCAATGCTGCGTCTAGAGGCAACCACCTGTTTATTTCCTGCTAACAGGCCAGCTTTGGGTTTCAGCAGTCCTGGCTTCATCCTGATATTCCTAGCTGCCCGACTTTGGGCAAATGTCACCACCTTTCTGAGCCTGTAAAGGGGGCAGGCAATAGCATCCACATTAGAAGGCCTTAGGGAGGAGGAGAGAGAATGTCTACAAAGTGCCCGGTGCAAGATGCTCTAAACCAGGGGTCCTCAAACTACGGCCACGGGCCACATGCAAATACAAATATTGTATTTGTTCCTGTTTTTTTTACTTCAAAATAAGATATGTGCAGTGTGCATAGGAATTTGTTCATAGTTTTTTTTAAAACTGTAGTCTGGCCCTCCAACGGTCTGACGGACAGTGAACTGGCCCCCTGTTTAAAAAGTTTGAGGACCCCTGCTCTAAACAAATGTTAAGATAATTAGCTTATCACTCACCTCCCTCAGGGAGGTTTGGGCCTTGCTCTTTGCTGCCATCTAGTGGCTCTTTGGTATTATTCCCAGTGGGAACCACAATCCCAGGTGCCTGGGATTCAACTTGCCTACAGGTGTTTACTGTGCCCCACGCTCACTCGGGAAGATAATATATATTAATACACAAATGAGGAAGACAGTGTCTAGGAGGGGTACAGAGTGGTGGTTAGGAGCAAGCGTCAGACCACTAGGATTGGAATCCTGGCGTTTAGCTACTGCCTAGCCCTGTGACTTGGGGAAAATTCCTTAATTTCACTGTGCCTCAGTTTCCCCAACTGTAAAATGGGTCTAATAACAGTACCTACCTCGTTTATGTAGAGAGCCTAGCATAGTGTCAAGCATATAAATGTGTTTGATACATATACTTTGTTAATAGTAGGAGCTTTCGGTCAAAGGAGTCAGATTGGAAAACTGGCTAATCTGATCCTCAGACTTTGCTGTGCATTGCATGTCTTTGAGGTGTCATCCAGCGAGCATGGGGCTCAGCACCACATCTACCCGCTGGAGAAAGAATAAGAGACTTGGGGATCGGATGGGGAAGAGATATGTGTGTGTGAACTGGACTTCAGAGACGGGAGAGAGCACGGTGTGGATGAGTCAGGGAAGGGGCCCCGGTGGAGAGGGGCTGCCCCTTAACGGATGGGCATTGTTTGGATACACAAGCAGGAGGAAGGCTGGCCCTCCTTCCAGGTGGGTTACCTAGTCTCCCGCTGTCCTCCACAGGCCAGAACGCCCCTCTTTATTAAAAAGCTTTAACAAACACACGGACTACTGCTAGATCGCATACCAAGTTGCTTAACACTACTGTTCATGGGGGCCGAGGCGGGGCGTGGGGTCCCCAAGTCCCTGGCTCGGGCTGGCATGTTCCCGCATGTCTGTGAGGGTTTGTGTTTGTGTAAGGCTGCCCGTCCCTCCCCCAGTCACCAGCACAGCCTTGCCCTTTCCCCTCTGCCCTTCCCTTTTCCTGGGGCTGTTTGGATAAGGGAACTCATGGTGCCTGCCCTGCTAGCTGAGTGTGAACTTTCAGACAAATGCTCACGAAGGATGTGTGGGCAGCCTGTTGACCGTGGGACAGATGCACAAGTGAAGGTGATGATCTTTTTGTGTTGAGAGTGGGAAGGAGTCTGCAGGTGTTGCTGGGCCAAGTGTTGGCTGTGAGTTTTCCCTTTTCTTTAGGAACTAACCTCAGTAGCCTAATGGAGATTCATCTACTTGTAACTAAATTCCAAGCCAGTCAGCCGTGGGGAACACAGATGAGCTGGAGCGCCTGTCCCACTGTTGTAGGGCAGACTGTGACCCTTGGGGCAGACAGGAGACCCGACCTGGCCCCACCTCTCCTCCAGCCTCCCTGACAGCCCTGGGCTCTCTGAATCACTCCTCCCAGCATGGCTCTGCCTCTTGGCTGTGGCCCCACATGTTCCCGGGCCTCTGCCCCCACTGGTAAACAGTTACTCATGCTTCAAGAGCCAGTGTGGAGTCACCCCTCCTCATGCAGAAGGGTTTGCCGCTCCTCTTGTGTGGCAAAGGCATTCCAGTCCTGACCCATTAGAGCACCTGTTACATGTACCAGCAAACAGGGACTTCTGTCATCTCTGCTAACCCTCACCCCACAGGTACTGTGCTGTCCCGTTTTGAAGGTGAGGAAGGGGGCACAGAATGGGAACTAACTTTCTTGCAGTATTCATATATTTATTCGCTCACTTAGCACATATTTATTTAAATTCTGCTCTGTGCCAGGCCCTGGGAATGTGTTGGTGACCAAGACAGATGAGGTCCTTGAGGCACTTACTAAACTTTCCTGAGGAAGAAAAAGTGAGCAAGGAAACAAGGTGTAAACTGTGATACATGCTGTGGAAGAAGGAGAGTGTCCTGATGGTGGGACACTGGGGAGCCTCTCAAACCTGGGAGGGCAAGGGCAGGACAGTGCCTGGTGTGTTCCAGACTAGAGAGGAGGGTGTGTAGGGGACACAGAGGGAGAGACACAGGGGCTGAGGTGCGGAGGCTGCAGGGCTACATCCTGCCCAGGCCAGCCGTCCAGATGGGGAGGTGATCCAGCTCTCTCCTCCGCAGAGCAACCCCCCTCACTCGATTTTACTCCATGGGAAGGGGGTACTGGAAGTGTTTTAAGCAAGGGACTAAGTCTTTTTTATCTGAATTTTAGAAAACAGCACTGGAGCCTCCTGGACTACCGAGAAGCACATGTAATTGTCTGCTTCCGAGTCTGTCTTTCCTCCTAGACTCAGCTTCTGTGGGTGGAGACTATAGCCTTCCTGGTCTGTTACTTCCTGTAAACCACACACCACTTCTGGAGCCTAGCCGGGGCTTGAGTGGCTGCACATGTACAGGCAGTAGGATCCATGCCATTGGGGCCGGGGAGGTGTGTAGGCTTCCTGAGGCCTCTGGGGTGGAGCCCTTGCCCTCCTGACACAATCTAGAGCTAGCAGGCACCATCATGGAGATGGGGGCGTGGAAACACTGCCTGTCTTGTGGGGTCTAATGACAGAGCAGCCTGTGACCCAGTGGCCACCAATGAGCTTCCATAGAGTAGGATGATCTAACGAGAGAGACACATGCAGAAGGAGTTTAAGGTACGTGTGCACAAGTGTGGCGTGAGCGTGTGTGTGGACACAGGCTCTGCCCTTTCAGGACTGAAGCCAGGGGTGTGAGGAACAAGGGGCTGCCATGGTGTGGCCTGGCCCAGGCCTCCTGCATACTACATATATCTGCTCCCTTACCCTGACTGTAGGGTTCAGAGGACAGTGGGCAGGGTGGTGACAGGGCCAGCGGGAGGAGGGCTGACACCCCTTGTAAGCAGGGGTGATGACAGCAGGTAGCTCTGACAACTGCCAGGGCTGGGCCTGGAGTGGGCTCTGCTGGGCCACACCTGCATAACGGAGGAATGTGAGGTCAAGCAGTAATGTGTTTGGCCTTACCCAGTGGCCATTTGTGTTTGACCTCTTCTTACCTGTTACATCAGCTCCAAGATGAAAACAAAAAGCTTTTCCCCAAACAGTTAAATCTATACAAGTTGTTTTTAAGACCTTAAACCCTGGAGCCAGGCTGACCTGGGGCTGAATTGCCTTCTTACAAGCAGTGTGACCTGGGGCTTGGGACCTAGTCCCAGTGAATGCTGAGAAGGCTGATAACTCAGGGCAGATATTTTCAGCCTTTTCTACCTTGAAGCATCATAAGTGAATTACTAAAATTCTGTGGCACACCAAAAATATATTTTTTTTGCTGATCTGACAAAAAAAAAGAATAGGTATAATTTTCATTCATTCATACCGGATGGCTATTGTGTTGCCTGTTGTCATTTTTTTTATTTGACAACCTAAAGGAAAAGAGGTCAGCGCTCCCGACTAAATAGTCAGATGTATGTTTTAAAAATTATTGCGGCACATGGTTGAAAATCACTGACTTGGGGGTATAAAAATTTCACCTATACACACACACACATTTCACCTAACTGCTCTACACACACACACACACACACACTCATTTTTAGAGAACAAAACAAGCTCTAGGCAAAACAGGCGGGAGGAGGCCTCAAGGCTGAGAGAGCTGGCCCCAGGGCCCCAGTGGAGGGTTGTAAAAGGGAGGACAGAACAAATGTTGGCTAAGTCACTCTGAGTAGGAAACTGTCTGGAATTTGTTTGTTTACTTCCTGAGAAAGGATGGGGAAAGGGTCAAGTGCCTTTGTAGGCAGCTGGAGACCAGTCGGTGGA